ACAGAGTCATCCCGTTCGGTCTGAAGAATGCTGGGGCAACCTACATGAGGGCCATGACCACCATTTTCCATGATATGATGCATCAGGAGATAGAAGTATATGTTGACGACGTAATCATCAAGTCCCGAACTCGGGATGATCACGTTCGAGACTTGAGAAAATTCTTCGAGCGGTTGCGCAAGTATGATCTGAAGCTGAAACCAGCCAAGTGTGCGTTTGGAGTCCCATCCGGCAAACTTTTGGGCTTCATAGTTAGCAGGAGAGGTATCGAGTTAGACCCAACAAAGATAAAGTCTATCCGGGATTTGCCTCCTCCGAGAACCAAGAAAGATGTGATGAGCCTGTTGGGCAGATTAAACTATATCAGCCGGTTCATTGCTCAATTGACTTCCACATGTGAGCCCATATTCAAGTTATTGAAGAAAGATGCCGCAGTCAAGTGGACAGATGAGTGTCAAGAATCTTTCGATAAGATCAAAGTATATCTGTCGAATCCGCCAGTCTTGGTCCCACCAGAGCCAGGGAGGCCTCATTTCTTGTATCTTACGGTCTTAGAAAATTCTTTCGGCTGTGTCCTCGGGCAACATGATGTAACTGGGAAGAAAGAACAGGCAATTTGCTAGTTGAGCAAGAAGTTCACCAGTTATGAAGTTAAATATACTCTGTTGGAAAGGACCTGCTGTGCTTTGACTTGGGTTGCTCAAAAGCTAAGACATTATCTTCAAGCTCACACCACCTACCTCATAACCAGGTTGGATGCTTTGAAATACATATTCCAGAAACCGATGCCCACAGGGAGATTAGCGAAATGGCAGATTCTGCTCACTGAATTTGACATAGTCTATGTCACTCACACGACGATGATAGCCCAGGCGTTGGTGGACCATTTGGCTGAGAATCCGGTTGACGAGGAATACCAACCGTTGAGCACTTACTTCCCAGATGAAGAGGTAAATTCAATAGAAGCAATCTCTGAAGATACCAATGCTTGGAAAATGTTCTTTGATGGGGCGGTAAATGCCAAAGGTGTAGGAATTGGGGCAATCCTGATCTCACCCACCGGTCAGCACTACCCGGCCACTGCTAGGCTCCGGTTTTTTTGCACTAACAATACCGCTGAGTATGAAGCCTGCATCATGGGTATGAATATGGCAATTGACCAAGACGTTGAAGAGTTATTGATTATGGGGGATTCAGATTTGATTATCCGGCAAGCCCAAGGAGAATGGGAAACCCGAGATGTTAAGCTTATTCCCTATCGCCAACAAGTGGAAGATCTTGGCAAGTGATTTAAATCAATAGAGTTCAGGTACATCCCTTGGTGTCACAATGAACTAGATGATGCACTCGCCACTCTGGCCTCGATGCTGCCTTACCCAGGCAATGCCCACATTGATCCCTTGGAGATCCAAATCAAAGAAAGGCATGGTTACTGTAATACGGTTGAGGCAGAACCAATCACCCAGCCATGGTACCATGACATCAAAAGGTTTCTGAAAACACAAGAATACCCCGAGCAAGCCACGGGAGATCAAAAGAGAACCATTAGACGACATGCAAGTGGTTTCTTTTTAAGTGGTGATGTTTTGTATAAGAAGACCCCGTATCTCAATTTATTAAGATGTGTTGATGCCGAGGAGGCTGGAAGGATTATGCATAAAGTACACGCAGGAGTGTGCGGACCTCACATGAATGGGTACATTTTGGCAAAGAAAATCCTTCGAGCAGGGTATTACTGGATAACTGTGGAAAAGGACTGCTTCAGCTTTGTCCGAAAGTGCCATCAGTGTCAGGTGCATGGTGATTTGATTATTACACCTCCGACAGAACTGCATCCTATGTCAGCACCTTGGCCATTCGTTGGTTGGGGCATGGACGTCATTGGGCCAATCGAGCCAAAAGCTTCAAATGGACATAGGTTCATACTGGTTGCCATTGACTACTTCACGAAATGGGTTGAAGCCATCACTCTCAAGTCAGTCACCAAGAAAGCGGTGGTAGATTTTGTGCTCTCTAATCTTATCTGCCGTTTTGGCATTCCTGTAACTATCATCACAGACAATGCTGCCAACCTGAATAGTCGTTTGATGGAAGAGATATGCGAACAATTCAAAATAACACATAGAAACTCTACTCCTTATCGGCCCAAAGCCAATGGTGCCGTTGAAGCAGCAAACAAGAACATCAAAAAGATTTTGAGAAAGATGATTCGGAGCTCCAGACAAAGCATGAAAAGTTGCCTTTTGCATTACTGGGATATCGCACCACAGTGCGCACATCGGTAGGAGCTACCGATGTGCCATTGTCTGGGATATCGCACCACAGTGCACACATCGGTAGGAGCTACCCCATACCTTTTGGTCTATGGAACCGAGGTTGTTATACCCGCAGAGGTAGAAATCCCTTCGCTCAGGATAATCATTGAAGCAGAAATTGAGGATAGTGAATGGATCAAGACTCGGCTGGAACAGTTGTCTTTAATTGATGAAAAATGGATGGCCGTGGTTTGCCACGGACAGTTGTACCAACAAAGAATGGCCCGCGCTTATAATAAGAAAGTACGGCCCAGGAATTTTTAAGTAGGACAACTTGTGTTAAGACTCGTTCTTCCTCACCACCAAGAAGCAAAAGGCAAGTTTGCTCCTAATTGGAAGGGTCCATATATCATCCAAAAAATACTACCGAGAGGAGCATTGTATCTGGGAGACATCGAAGGAAATGATCCCGAAGCAGCAGTCAATGCGGACGCAGACAAAAAGGTACTACGTTTAGGCTTGCTGCGGTGATTGGCTTTTGTGCAATTGAGATGACGAAGGCTTTCTTTCCCGCTATCCAAACACTATCAGCCCCTTGCAAACCCATTTGAGCCGGTTATTCTTCTTTGATTGCCCTCTTTGGAACCCGAAAGTACTATTGAAAAAAAAAGAAAAGACAAAAAAAAAAAGAAAAAAAAAGAAAAAAAAGAAAGAAAAAAAAAGAGAAGAAACGAAAAAAAAATGAAAAAAAGAAGGCAGTGTTTGGTTTGAATGGAGACAGTGCAAGTGGGCCTGATGGCTTCAATGGGAATATTTTTCAAGCTTGTTGGGATATAATTGGAGAGGATGTGGTAGATATGGTGAAAGCCTTTTTCTGTGGGCAGGAACTACCTAAATTTGTGACTCACACAAATTTGGTGCTATTTCCAAAGAAGAAGGAAGTGAATACATTCTCTGATTTAAGGCCAATTAGCCTGAGTAACTTTACAAATAAAATCAACTCGAGGGTTATTCATGAGAGGTTGGTTGATATTCTACCTAATATTATCTCGGATGAATAGGCTGGGTTTGTTAAGGGAAGGAGTATTGCTGAAAATATTTTGCTTACTCAGGAAATCATCACAGACATAAGAATGAGAACTAAAGCAGGCCCTAATGTAGTGCTAAAACTGGATATGATGAAGGCCTATGATAGACTGTCTTGGCTCTTTTTAACGAAGGTTTTGAGGAAGATGGGGTTCTCTGAAAGATTCATTGGGTTGATCTTTGGTATTGTGTCCAACAATTGGTACTCAGTTTTTGTGAATAGGCAATCACATGGTTTCTTCAAGTCTACGAGGGGAGTCAAGCAAGGTGATCCTCTATCACCTACTCTTTTTATATTGGCTGCAGAGGCAATGTCTAGGGGGCTCAATGCATTACATCATAATTTGTATTTTTCTGGATTTGGAATGCCTAAGTGGAGTCCCAAGATCAACCATCTTGCCTATGGTGATGATACCATTATTTTCTCATCATCTGATGCCACTTCATTGAGCCTGATTATAGAGGTATTGAATGCATATGAAGCAGCATCGGGGCAGCTGACTAATAAAGCTAAATCTGCAGTATATGTTCACAACTCTGCAAGTGAGGAGGTGGTGAGGAAAATTGAAAGAATTACTGGGATAGGGAAGCATGAGTTTCCTTTCATCTACCTTGGATGCCCTATCTTTTATACAAGGAGAAAAATGGCTTTCTATGAAGGTATGATCACTAAGGTGTTGGATAAAATACAGGCTTGGAAAGGAAAATTATTATCGATAGGAGGAATGGCAGTGCTGATCAAAAGTGTGCTGCAAAGCATGCCTATTCATCTGCTTTCAACAGTGAATCCTCCTGCTAATGTGATCAACAAGTTACACAAATTGTTTGCTAGGTTTTTTTGGAGCAATTCTGTTGAGGGAAGGGCTAGACATTGGGCTTCATGGGATACCTTGTGCATGCCTATAGAGGAAGAAGGAGTGGGGTTCAGATCACTTCATGACATGTCCAAGGCTCTTTTTTGCAAATTGTGGTGGAACTTTAGGACCAAGCCATCATTGTGGAGCTCTTTTATGAGCAAAAAATATTGTAAGAAGATGAATGCCATTATAGTTCCCTGGAGAGCTGGTTCACATGTTTGGAGAAGGATGTTGGAATGCAGAGATATAGTGGAGCATCAGATATTATGGAAACTGAGAATGGGATCATCCCTTTTTTGGTTTGATAATTGGACAGGGCTGGGGTCTCTTTATTTTGTGACACCACCAGAATTCCTTGTTGATGAAACAGTGCAAAATGTTAATAATGTAGTAGTAGGAGGACAGTGGGATGAAATGCAACTTACACAAATATTACCTAATGATCTAGCTAATCATATTCTGGAGAACATTCCTTATCCTGCTAATTCAGAAGAACTGGACAAGCCTGTTTGGAGCCTAGACACAAGAGGGCAATTCACAGTTAAGACTGCTTGGGAATACCTACGAAGGAGGAGAGATCCTGCACTGTGTTACTCTAATATGTGGGTGAAAGGGCTGCCATTTAAAATTTCATTCTTTATGTGGAAGTTATGGAAAGGGAAATTACCCCTTGATGATACTATGAGGAGAATGGGATACTTCATGCCTTCAAAGTGTCGGTGCTGTGTATTTCCAAAAGAAGGTACAGTAAGTCATGTGTTTTATCGATCCTATACAGCTTCAAGAGTGTGGTCCTACTTTTTCTCTCATGCTGGAATGTCTTTGGAGGGGCTGAGCTTGCATCAAGCTATAGTAAAATGCTGGACTGTGTTAGTGATCCCTAGGCTTAAGCCAATCTTTCTAGCACTACCTAGCATCATAGTTTGGGAGTTGTGGAAAAGAAGGAATAGCAATAAACATGGGGAGCCTGTATCAACTAATAGGGTGGTGTTTCAGATATGCACGACTTTGCAGTCTCTTATTAAAGTGAGGAAGCCTGGGATTGCATAGGTTCCATATAGATGGCCAGATATGTTGAGGATGATGGAAAATTATATGCCTAAGCTGAAGTTTAATAAGGTGGTATGGGAATTTCCAATGCAAGGTTGGACAAAGATAAACACAGATGGGGCTTCGAGAGGCAATCCTGGAAAGAGCTCAATTGGATTTTGTTTGAGAGATGAGCATGGTGATCTGATTTATGCGTGTGGCAAAGAAATTCAGGAGGGAACTAATACACAAGCAGAAACTAAGGCTATTTTGGAGGCTTTGAAGCATAGCATGACTGATGGCATCTCTAATATCTGGGTGCAAACAGATTCTATGTTGCTGAAAAAGGTCATAGAAAGGGAATGGAAGCCACCTTAGGTTATTGAGGAAGAGATAACTGAGATTAGGAGGTTGCTACTGGTATGCAATGGCAGAATTTCTCATATCCATCGAGAAGGGAATAAGTTAGCTGATCACTTGGCTAACTATGCTTTAGATCATGGGAATATTGAATGCCATTCGTTTCACCATCTGGACACACAAGGTAGGAGGCTAGTTAATGGGGATAAGATGCAATGCCCTTACTTGAGAGTGAAGGTTTCGAGACAGTAGGAAGAAGGAGGAAGAAAATTCAGGGGATTTGGTGAGGGATCTAATGCAGGATCAGCATCTTCAAATCCTTGAGGAGGAGATGATGTTGATCATTTTTTACACTAACCTTGTGTTCTTTTTTGTAGGAAACGTTACTGTACTCATGCCTTGTCACCTAATACGACTTCTATGGGTGGTATTAGCACATTGTGCTCATTCCCTTGAAGAAGGAAAAGTGACATGCACAAGCATGGAAAAGCAGTGCTGGAACTACATTTGTTTGGACCTGTTTTCATCCTTGAACTGGCAGCAAATTACGGGACTACTGGAGGGGATTGGTTTCAAACCTTCAGGACTAAAACATAGTCAAATGCAAGAGGCTTCATACAGGACAAGGAATTCTACAAAGGTCAATGAGACAACACACGAATTTGACATCAAAAGGGACAACTGCAATTGTATTTGCAGACAAGTGCAGGTCAGGTACGCAGGGGAAGTTGTCCAATTGGTACTAGAAATACATATACATACAGGGAGTCAGGCAGCAGGAAAAATAATGAGGAACCAACTGAGACATAAGGAAGGCAAGATTCATAAGGAATACACAATGAGCAAATGGTGGATGCAGAATTTTTCAACCACATAGAGGCAAACTAAATGGGCAGCAGCTAAACAAGAAAAAAGAGGCAACGCGTGCAAAATTTGGACAGCATCAAATGGCTATGAGTGCAGGAAATGCAAAATGCAACGGAAAATGCAGTGTCATGGGCTCGAAGGATCAGTTGATTTACAATTAAGCTACATTAGATCTCATGTGATATCAAAGTTGAGCATCAAGCTCAACATTGATAATAGGAATTATGTAGTTTTCATTGCTTATTTCTTTCATTACTTAGGACATCATAACACTTTGTTTTTGTTTTTGTTATTTTTGCTATATATAAATAAAACTAGCCCTAGGCACTGCCTAGTGGATTATTAAAAAAAAATGAATAAAAGAAGAAGAAAAACAAAACAAAACAAAAACAAAAACAACCAAAAACAAAGTTTTCCTGAACTACGTCTGACTTGATTCCGAAAGGATACGTTGGCAGCCTCTCTCTGAGGTTCAGTCACACCAAAACAAAAATCCCAATTCCCTCAAAAAATAAAACTGGGGCAGATGATATTATGGCTCGGCAATGAGCCCACCAAAACGGTTCCAAAGTTGTAATTCCATCCAAGATTCTTTTTACCCAAAAACCTTGTCCAAGTCCTTCCGATCAATTGGCAAAGGCGTGGAATTGAAAACATCATTGTTGGAATCTGATGCAATCAAATTGAGAGAAATAAAATGAGAGAGTCTTATCGGTGAAAACCTACGGGCACCATAAGGCGACGGTGAGTAGAGAAATTGAAAATGAGAGAGTCCGCTTAGTGAAAACTCGTAAAGAGCACTATCGGGGGACGGTGAGAAGAGAAATGAGAGAGGTCGATTGATGAAAACCCGCAAAGGGCGCCGTCTGCCGAAGAGAAGACATCTCCCACCACTGAAAGAGTCCGGCAAGGTTCCCTGGTTTTGAGACACGGGTCAATGAGTTTACGAGAAGTTGGAAAGTTTGTGCGGGTCGGGCATCCAGTCCAAGAAGCATGTCATGTTTATTTGAAGCTTGCATGCACCCCCAGATAAGTCCTTCTATTCCCCCCGAAAGGGACGCTTCTCTTTAAATTCATCTTCTTGCTTACTTTTTCCTTGAATCCCTTTCGGTCTAACGCTGATTCCGAAACTATTACAAAAAAAAGGTGGAAGGACTGGCTTTACAGGGCTCTCCCTAACAAAATCTAAAGAAAAGTACCCAGCCTCAGCGGGTGCATCAAGTCAATCCCGACTGGCCATGATGGCGGATGCTTTGAAATCAAAGTTATTGAAAGAGAAAAACAAACAAACAAAAAAAAAGAGGGGTCAAGGACAAATGTCTTAAAGGCAGAATAAAGTGAAAGGCCAGAGCCCCACGCGGGCGAATTGTCACGAAATCCTGAAAGATGAGCCATCCGGTTTGAAAGAGAGAAGAGATTCATCTTCAAAACCAGCAAGCAGCAGAGGTTCTCAATAGAAGCTGGGCCAAAGTCAAGCAGTTGAGACGATCAAGGCCACAAAACCAACCACCGTTTCAAACTAACAAATTGTTCTTTGTTTGAAAAGTTGAAACAGGTGTAATCCAAAGCAACCATGCAAGAAGCAGGTGTAATCAAAAGAAAATGCGCAAGAGCTAGAAGCAGCCTCGCAACAATAATCAACTCGAAAGGAAGTTTCCTCAAAAAATCTTTCCTGCATCTTTAATAAAAAAAAAAACCAAAATCATGGGAGCATAGGGCCCCTTTTCCTAGATATCCTGGCATAACCCAAGGACCTTTTTCTTTTATCCCGGCATAACCCGTGGACCTCCCTGGCATAACCCAAGGACCTTTTTCTTTTATCCCGGCATAACCCCAAGGACATTTTTCTTTTTATCCCGGCATAACCCGTGGACCTCCCTGGCATAACCCAAGGACCTTTTTCTTTTTATCCCGGCATAACCCGTGGACCTCCCTGACATAACCCAATGACCTTTTTCTTTTATCCCGGCATAACACGTGGACCTCCCTGGCATAACCCCAAGGACCTTTTTCTTTTTATCCCGGCATAACCCGTGGACCTCCCTG